CCATGCCACTGTTCCGTGTGCCACTGCTCACACTCCATGTCGCTACAGAGGGACCCTCCATGGCACCTTTCACATCTAAAACGTCACGTGTGGCCTGGCCGGTGTGGCTCCATGGTGGAGCATCGACCTAGGAACCAGAAGATCCCGGTTTGATTCCTGCTCAGGGCACAGGCCTGGGTTGTGGGCTCCATCCCCAGTTGGGGGCGTGCAGGAGGCAACCAACCCAGGATTCTCTCTCCTCATGGATGTTTCCCTCTCTCTTCCTCTCTGAAATCAGTAAAAATACATTTAAAAATAAGTAAACAACATGTCACGTGTGCACTTTGCGGTGGAGGTGACGTTGTGGATGGGAGCTGTTTGCTGGACAGAACGGTCAACGTTGCATTGATCTCACATTGACAACATGCAAAAGGCGATGAGGAGCACACGCACAGGACCCACACGATGGGAACGGAGCGTGAAACGAACACACATGTCCATGTTTACTGAGAAGCAAAGCATATACTTACGAGAGAAAGAATTGGGGACTATTGCATGGAAATCCCTAAAGCCGTCGGCCCCATAAGAAACTGCAACAAGAAAGCAGAGAGAGGGCAGGTGAGCGCGGTGAGAGGCGCAGCGAGCGCGTGCGGGAAGCCGTGCTTTTTAAAGAACGCGTTCTTGCCCGGCACCATGTCGGCTCCACATCTGCCGCCTGTCCTCAGACCCACAGTGGCTTCAGCCGCCCAGCTCAGTCCTGTCCCAGCAAACACTCGGCCCCTCCCCCCTGCTCCCTCCCCCTTCCCGGCCACAACTCACAGAGGCCGTGGATGGCCGGGGGAGGGGGGGCATGCTGGCCGGCCCACCATGTCCCTCGTCAGCGCGATGCTGCCCCGGGGCCTTTCCATCTCGGCCTCCTGCCCCTCGCTGTGCCGCGTCCTGCAGGCACGGCCATCTCAGATGAAGGAGTCTGAAGGTAACTATTACCTTTTAAATCGGGGACATTGCAAGACTTGATGTGACATAAAACTGATGATAACTGCACGGTCCCCAGATGCTGCCGAGGGGGTGCAACTGTGACTGAGGTGAGAGGCAGGTTTCAGCGCATCCCGCAGCCCCAGGCCCCGCTCGCGTGGCATTGGGCACAGAGGGGAGTTCAAGTCGCTGCCGACCTGGCCAGCGGAGGGGCTCTGGGTGCGAGGAGGCGAGGCCTTGAAGGTATCCCACCGGGAGGGACTGCAGGGGGCGGTCAGCCCTGAAGCGCACAGCTTCGTCCCCGTGCTGCCGTGTCCCCGTGACCGAGCCACACACGCTGGATCCCAGCACCGTCGCCGGGCGTCGCCCGCTCACCCCTCTGAGAGCCTCCGTCCCTTGCCTGGAGCAGTTACAACTGCCTTCGACGTTTGTGTCCTCAGTGTGTGCTTCCCATGGAACCGCAACACGTCTAAAACCAGCCCTGGCTGTGGCTGCGGGGCCACCTGTGCTCCGGGAGCGCGGGCCTGGGGTCTGGCTGCTGCTCGCGCACCCGTGGCTCACGCGCACCCGCCCCAAACGAGAGTGTTAGTCCCCACGGAGGGACGGTCGCGGCCACACAGGAACCCGTGACGGCGTGTCTGTCCCGTCCTGTCCTGTCCACTGTCTCCCCACCAGCCCGCACCTGGGGGCAGCCGCTGGAGCCTGGCAATGCGGGTGCGCCCAAGCCCTTTTCAGGCGCTGTCCCCGCCTCACCAGGTCCTGGGGCAGGACGGGCACCGTGTCCCAGGGAGGAGCCTGGGCCGCAAGGCGGGTCAGCAGTGTGTGCTCTTGTTGGTCGGTGTCAAATGTGCAAATCGGAGAGGGTATCAGATCAACACCTTGGGGTCAGCATTCGAAACACGCACTGTCCCATGATGGAGGGCCTTGGGAAGCTACGTCAGTTACGGCAGCAGCACACGTGTGCATACACACACACTCCCACACACTCACACACACTCACATACACACACAACACACACACATACACACACTCACACTCACATACACTTACACACTCCCACACACTCACACACACACTCACATACACTTACACACTCACACACACTCACATACACACACAACACACACACATACACACACTCACACTCACACACACACTCACACTCATACATGCTCACACACACACTCGCACTCACACTCACACACACTCAGACACACTCACACACATACACACTCACTCATACACGCTCACACACACATACTCATACACACGCGCACTCACACACACACTCATACACACACACTCACATACACACGCTCACATACACACGCTCACACACACATACTCATACACACACACACATACACACACACATACACACACTCACACACACATACACACACTCACACACACACACACAAGAAAATTAGGGCGCATTAACCAGCAGAGCCCCCCACACGACAGCCCTCAGAGCAAAACCCTCCCCTCGTCCTCGAAGCCGACACCGGGGAGCAGGGACGTGACGGCTGGGCCTCGGCCAGTTGCACCCGAGCCTCGGGCCAGGGTCTCCTGGGAGGCGCGAGCAGGGCCTCGGCGTCTCGCTCTCCCAGCCTCAGGAACCACGCCCCTCACCAGGAGTCCCGTGCGTTCGCCTCGTCCCTAACCTGTCACTACACGTCCCTATGAAGAGGCTGCTGATGCCTGGGCCCCGGGGCCTGTTCTGACGGCCAGCTGAGGAACCTTCTAGAAGGAAGACCCCCGCCCGGCAC